GATATCGATTAAAAAGCGAATTAATTTCCACGAATGACACTGACTTTGTAGAGTCCCCTCAGATATTCGGAACACTCGTACCTTACTTTAGAACCCCATACAATTTCCTAAAGCTCAGAGATCACTGCGTCTACCTCGTTTCCAAAAATTCGAAACAGGGGGATCCAAACGCTATCGCCAACTACTCTGCAGAGGTATCGATTAAAAAGAGAACTAATTGCGACGAATGACACTAACTTTGTAGAGTCCCCTCAGAAATTCGGAACACTCGTACCTTACTTTGGACGCGATACCATTTCCCATCGTCCAGATGGTCACCGCGTCTACCACCTTTCCAAAAATTCCAGACACCAGCGTTCAAACGCTGTTGCGAACCACTCTGCAGAGATATCGATTAAAAAGCGAATTAATTTCCACGAATGACACTGACTTTCTAGAATCCCAGATACCTTGCTTCAGACCCTATACTATTTCCCAAAGCCCAGACCACCAAAATGTTTCCAAAATATTCGGACAACTTTGCAGAGATAGGAATTAAAAACCGAATTAATTTCGACGAATGACATTGAATGACTCGAAGAACCTCGAAAGATACAAAATGGCGCGAAGGAGGTCGCGCGAGATCCTCAGGCAGGAGACGCTGCGCGTTGGAATGGAGAGGATCTCGGAGGAAGACAGCGAGTGGCGCCAGGAGGCGCGTAGCCGGCACGTTCGGCCGCGAAAATCGAAAGTGCGAGCGATAAGAGCGAACTTGATCGTTACTTCATCAGCGACCGGTGGAAACGGTCAATGCGAGGTGCATCGGAAACGGGTACGAGTGGTCTGCGGTCGCATTACCGGTACGCGCGTCGAGGAACGTGAATTACCGCATGAAACCCGAGGCCGGCAGGATAAGACGGGCGAATTGGAAAGAAGCTATGGTGGGAAGGAATCGATTTCACAGCGTCTGAAAGGGGCGAGATGTTAATGAACGTGGTGCAAGGTATTCCGGCCAGGTATTCCTGCACTCGCGCTCACGCGGCATTGCTGTTTTATTTGCCAGCCCTGGCTGATGCTTTGTTCGCTTAACAGACGCTTGGAAGTCACAACTTCGTTGAGACACAAGAAACCAGAGTTAATCTCTAATCCGAAAGCAGGGGTGTCGATCAGAGACAGAAATTGATTTAAGTATGAAAAATTATTAAATAAAATTCGAGGGAGGAATTTATAACTATGCTTAACCCTTAACTTAACCCTTTGACAGCCACGAGAGAGTACCGCTAGATGCAAGATTTGTTCTAATATTTTTCTGATCGATGTTTTAATAGAAATTTTTAACTGTTCAATGGGGTACCTTTTATTTCAAAGTATCTTCTAATTAGCGATTATATTCGAAATGCACTAACTGTCAATTTTCATTCAATAACCACTGAGGTGTCAAAGGAGAAACCGTGACGGGTCACATATGGCCAACGTGTCAATGCCAAGTTTCTCACAGAAGATAAGGATTCTCTGAATTTTTCAAAACTCTTGTTCCAAGATTTAGTAATAATAATTCCGAAACACCGCAAGTACACGATAACTTAAAAATTTTACAAATACACAGACTTCCTAGAAATTATGAAATCTTTGCTCTTCTGTTTCTTTTATGTATCGCGTGAAATTTTATGTTTACACAGTTATGTACATAAAGGGCTTCCTATATAAATAAATAAATAAATAATGGAGCTAATGTATTTATCTGATTTCTGTAAATTCGATTTATTCGTTTTCCAAAGATATTAAACCGGGTTTCCTTAGACCCCGAGACAATGATCCAACCAACGGATAAAGAAGACTCCAGAGTTAAAAGACGTGTTCCAATAGGAGACAGTTTACATACCCGCGCTGTCAATAGAATCGAAAGGTCGGTTCTTGATATTCTTCTCCCCGAAGTCGAGGAATGGCGTCTGTCTGGGTATGGAACAATTCCAAAAGTAGAATGCAGAGAAGTATCGCGTGCTTTCGATATGGAAACGTATACCCGACAACCTCGTGGCATAATCCGGCGATCAAAACGACGCGGACACACGATCCACCGTGTAATAACGAACCGAGAGCACGATGCTCGTTTAACGACGTAACGGTATGGAGATTGCACTGTTAACGCCTCGCGTCGCCTGGCTGCAAACGAGCGGACGTCGAGACGCTCGTCGACGCGTTGACAACGCGGAACAGAGGCGTCGAGACCGGGTCCAGGTGGAGAAAAACAAGGGTGACCCGATTCCGGAGACGCCACACGCCTAGACGCCCGAGAAGAGAGATATCAACGTGGATCGACGAAATCGAAGAAATCGACGAAATTGGCAGACATTTTCCACGATATTTCCTCGCGATTCGAAGACACTTTCGACCCCCAATGCTCGATTTTACTTCGCTCGACCTCCGACTGCGAGCTGCAATAAAGAGAAGGGGATTGGACCGAAATGGAGGACTCGAAGACGCTGAAAATACAGTGCGTTCGGCTAACGTCGTACCGAGGAATCTAATTTGCATACCTCGGTCACGAGAACGAACAAAAGTAGTGTTCAGACGGATAAAGGATCATTTTACCCGCGCGAGAACCACCTCGGAGGACCTTGGATCGACTACTGAATAAGTCTCATACACCAGAAAATTGCCGTGCATATGCGCAAATAACAAAGAGCCTCGTAGGAATAGGTGAAACGAAAAAGGAGCGAGGATGCGTTGCATGGTTGCGGAAAAATAAGTGGTCGGCAGAGAAAAAGGAACAGAGGTCTCTGCCATCGGCGCAACCTAGCCTCTGCCTAGCGTAGCGAACGGGAAACCAGGACTCAGCTTTCTTCGATCGATGTTCGTTCTAACGAAAGCTTCACACCATCGAGTCCCGGTTAAACATTACCGTTCATCAGATGAGCTAGCTCTGATCAACATACGCGTTCCAATCACGCTTCGCCGCATTCGGTAAACGCTCACTATCAACGGACCATGAGCTATCCTGAGTGGACCCCGACCGGCTACCTTGCTCCCATGTATCGGGATACCCGTTCCCGTGTCCTAGCTATCGCGACGTGTCCATTATTCGCGAAAATATGACCATTACTCCACCCTGCAACGTCTCCCAATTTACCGTCCACGCGGTTCAAGGCCTTCCTCCTGTCATATTCGAGGAAAATCCAGGCAGACGCACTTTTCGAAAAATATTATTCCAAGTATCGACTGAAATTATTCTCGCGTCAGTGATCACGTCTGAAATAACATCGTTCGGGGTATTGCTTCGAATAACGTGTTATTTCATTCGATGATCACAATTATTCGAGATAATTGAGAAATTCCACGAAACCCGCGAAATTACAGCGAACGATACGATTATCGGATACGAATCTTCCTACATCGATACTTTCTTGTTTACTACGTAGGATACTGTAATTTCTGCCTCAGTCTTGGATTTTTCAAGATTTCTCCGAATCATTTTATCGATCGTTCTCTCCAGAAGTCGTACGTATTCATGTATTCCTAACGTTCAAAAGTTTCGCGCGTGTAAAATAAAGGAAACTACAGGCCGCCTCGCAGAAGTAGAACTCGGGGCCGCTTTTACGATTAATACGCGTTTCTTCTGTCCGATTCGAAATAAATAAGTTAGGAAACAACCGGTTATTCGAGATCGAAGAAATTTATATCGAACGATCCTATATTTCCATTGTCGGATAACGGTATCGAAAATAACGGCGAGAGGTAAATTATTTCGAATAGTTTCTTGCCTGCGTTTCGAGCAGAGGTCCCGGGGTCCGGACGGAGGACATAAGAACGGGCGTTGAATGGCGAAAAACAGGCAATCGAGTTGCCAACGTTCTCCATTGTGCCCCTTTACGGTACCCCCGGGGCTCTCGCGGAGACAACCTTCGAGGTTGTCGCGCGAGTATCGCTATCTTCTCGCTGATATCATCTGACTCCTTTTTTCTCTCTGTGCTAGCGAGTACTCGACGATAAGGATCGTTATTAGCCGCGTCCTTCCGGCACGATTCTCTCTTAACGAAGCCAGCCGAGCTTTTTTCGCGACGCCTTCCCGCCCAGATATTTCCCGGGATCACGCGAGTGAAATCCACTGGGAATCACGCGAGGGTTGGTGGCGAATTTACTCCGTGAAAATCGGTGACGGAATCACCGACTATAGACTCGAATCAACTGCCAGGATATAACAATGGCGACGCGAAGTTACGCTAGTGAGCGTAAGAGAAATTTTGGTTAACACGTTGACTGCCATGGTGGTCACCAGTGATACAAATTTAGAAAATTTATATTTGTTTTATCTTTACCATTTATTGAAAATTTGAACAACTTAACCCTTATCGAACGCGGATTGTATCTAGTTTCGGTTAACCCTTTGCGCTCGACGATTTTTTGGTTGAAGAAGGGCCCGAGTTGAAAAATTTTCTGCCATGAGACTGATGATATTTTTTAAGCAGTAAATAAGAAATCGTATAATAATTAACACGTAGAATTATTTAATTTCGATACCTCGCGCACTGTTACATTATTTTAAATTTGATATATTAATTAATATCGAGCTTGCAGGCGTCTCTCGAGTGCAAAGGATTAATATGCGAAATGTTTCCATCTTGTCATCTCCCACGTGACACATAACCTCAACGACAAAGTATTGTTGTCAAGTAAAATGTAACTTACGACCAATAAGGGTGAAATAAATACAGAGCTTTGAGTAAAGAACGTTAATAATTTGCACCATTTTCTTTTTTTGTTTGCCATATTGTTTGATAATTCATCATTATGTTAAAGAATAATGGAAATTTCATCGTGGCCTCCTGAGCGTGCTATATAAAAGTGCATGACAGTCAAAGTGTTAACGATAGTCGGCGATTTGGCTGGGAGTTACGAAAGCGTCTTCGAAAGTTTGGAGGATCGTTATGTGGTCGGAAAAGCAAGGGAAGGAGGCGACTCTGGTTAGGTAAGAGGCGAAAAAAGCTCGGGAAAATTCACAGGTGAAGAAGCTGGTCGCTCACCGGAACCGTAATCTATGCTCGGCATGGGTGGATGCTGGCTCTCAATGGCGGCCTTGCTGAACAAATAGATCGGATTCGTGTCGGTTCCGGCCGAGTAGGAGCACACACGAGCGTTCGGTTCCAGGCTTTCGCCTCCGCTCATCAAGAGCACCTGGTGCTCCGCGACCACGCCGCATTCTCTCTCGATCGCTTCCTTCAGCTGGGCGACACTGCGCAGAAAGAAAAGAAAAATCGTGTTAATAATCGTGCTAACCCATTAGCAGTTTATACAGTCACAGACAGAGCAGAGCGTCAAGTACTAATTACCAACAAAATATACGTAAAACACGTTCTTTTACATTTTTTATTACATGCCGAAGTGTTTTCGAACATGAAAAAGGCTGGACATTTTTTGGACCTGGAATTCGTAATTTTACCACACTGTGAAAGGGTTAACCCCCTGCTCTACGATTTAAGATTCAACAGCGCGGTCCCAAAATGTAAACAGAACTGAGCCTTCGAATCATTCCATGACTCGGAAAATCTGTCTTAAGGTGTACCCACCTTTCTAATATATTTAAGAAAATATATTTTAATGTGCGAACGTAGTCAAGAATAACGCGCAATTGAGTCCACTAGCCTGGACTGTGTTACTTAGAGTGGGGCATATTGGGATTACGGGTACAAAGAAATAACTATCTTTATTTTATAATTATCTCTAGTCTATCCTTTGTAAGGTATACCTTATGTATTAACTGTTCGCATGGAAAGATGAAAAAGGATATGCGATCCCCTAATTCTTATCTATCTTATCCTGGAACCTTTTCGGCGCAAAGTTCAAAGATATATCTATTTCTCCCAAGAGATTAATTTTTGTATATACATTCGGACGTATCTTATTTTCAATAGAGCACATCGACAAACCATGGACGTGACGCGTGGTGTTTACATTTGTCCCGGTCGACGTACCACGTGCCAGGCCCGTGATAGTCAGTTTTAGCCCGATCCATGTACCACGAGCCAGACTCGTGATAATCAATTTTGGCTCGAGCGCCTGACCACGAGCCTCACACGTGATTGCAGGCCAAAGGGTTAATAACTGGCGTGCTAGTGGGAAGGAACTTCGGAAAATCGATAGCGTCGGTGTATTTACACGTGAACGAGTATATTGAAGTATTCGAGCATTCGGAAATAAGAGATTACTCCACACAGCGAAAATTCAAAAGTTTGGAGATTTAGGCGGCAATGTTGCACGCGTGACGATTAAATTAAATGTCCGACGACAGCCGTGCCACCTAGCCGAATCGTTTAAAGGCGTTCGCGGAACAAGATAAGTTCCATGATAAACCGGGGCAGTTGTACAGCTTCGTCGTCGTCGATGCCGTGATTAAGGTCAAGATTATCCGTACCCGTATCAGAGAGGCGAGCTGCTCTTAGAAGAGCCAACAAAAGTCGGAGTAATTGGGGAAACTTGGAAGACTTCTGCGTAGCCGGACGGGTATCTAGCACGAGATGCCGCGTTCAGTGCAGAAAACGCTTCGACGCTGTTAGCTACCGGTCTGCTCTTCGCGACCTGGTTCCCGCGAGGCGTCCGCGCGTCGCGATCGCTAATCGGCGCGACGCGTTTCCGTAACTCGCGTGAAAAGCAGCGAGGTGGGAACGTAAGGCTGAGAGAAAAACGGGCCCGATCGGACAGTCGATCGGGGCCCGTACTTTCCATCTCGAACTTTCCATCTCTATCCCCGGCTGCGTTTCTACCGCAACGCGAGCACGTCGAACGAGCGATCGATCTACGATGCGCGAGTCGAAAGGCCCGTGCGTAATTCCATTGGCACGAGGAGGATAAAAGTGCGAGCTTCGACCGTGACAATTATGTCAAGGCGATATCCATCAAGACGGCCAACAAACCGTCGGGACAGGTTCGAAAACTCGCGACGAGAAGAAGCTGCAGCGAAATCGTAAACATCGGTCGACCAACGACTCCACGGATAAAACGCGTCTTAACCATTTGACTGCCATGTTAGTCATATATGACCGGCCATGGTTTTCCTGTGACACCACGATGAGAAACGGTCATTGGTGACCGGAGCGCTTGAACTACTTACAGTTGTAAAAATTGAATGAAAATTGACAGTTAGTGCGTTTTGAATATAACCGATAATTAGAAGTGCCCCATTGGACAATTAAAAATTTTTATTTATTTATTTATTTGATGGGTAAACACTCTTTATAAAGAAGTAATACAGTAAAATAAAAAGGTAAATATGCAGTTTAGCGGCTTTGCCCTAAACGCGTATTTCTTTTTCATAAAAGGCTTTATTTGTGCCTCAATGAGAAATATAGATCGGGGGAGCTTGAAAAAGTTACTAGTTTTTGGACAAAAAACATGAAATTGTTAAAAACTGCCGAATGCGTGAGTCGATCCCTATGATTTTTGAACACGTTTTAGAGGGAGAGATTCTGAACAATTTTTATGTGAACAATGATCGTCGCTTGGCCTTAATTGCCGAGATATTTGCAAAAATTGTTCACTCAAAAAACTAGTGACTTTTTCAAGCTCCCCCGATCCATATTTTTTATTGAGGCACAAATAAAGCCTTTTATGATAAAGAATGAAAAAAAAAGACGCGTTTAGGGCAAAGTCCCTAAACTGCGTATTTACCAAATAAAAATAATGAAAAAAAATAAAAGTAAAAATGAAACTAAAAGGAACACAATTACATAGAAATTTATACAGGAGGATACATTGTTCTACGTCATAAGTACGTAATAGGAGACTGCGAAGTACTGCATTACTGTATTAGTACTGTATTAGAACATCAATCAAAAAAATATTAGAACAAATTTTGTATCCAGCACTGTGTTTCCAGTGACGTCCTGAGCAAAACTCTGTCAATTTCGTCGTGGCAGTGAAAGGGTTAAACGATGGTACCTTTAGAGTAGAACACTGAGTCGGTACCAGCTGAGCTACCTTTTATAATTAATACGAGATGCGACTCACGTCGTCCTCGCGGCGAACAAAGAGCTCTCCTTATCCGTTATTTAACCTTGCCAAGGGTGTCGATGACGACTCCTCGCTCGCGACCACCGTTCCAATTCCTTTTACGCGCAATTTATGGCCATCATCCGCCGTGTTCGAGGCGAGTATACCGCTCGTGAACGTTTGCAGCGATAAAATTCGCGGACCTGTCTCCGCGGTCACCGCGACGCCATTTCTAGCCAGATAAAGAGGCTGCTGCATGGCGTAAATAACGCCGGCACGTCGAATTTCGTAATACCTCTGGCATCCTAAAACAGGCCGTTATCGAGAGGCTGCAATTCCGATAAAAGCACTCGCAGCGAGACACGTCGAATAATTTCCCTCCAGTATTTCGTTCACGCGAGCCTAACCCGAACGTGCCTGAACCGGGAAATCGGCCGATCGACGTCCAATGACCGCGAATGGCGCTGATTAACCCTTCCCACACGACGACCTTGGGAATGGGGCTAGGTTCGGATTAGATTATTGCGAGGCGACGAGAAATTTGCACGAATGACCGCGTCGCGTCGAGCGGCTAAATCGAAAGGGTGACAGCGATGGAATTTTAAATTTCGCGGTTGCACGCGTGTATCGACCACCCCCGAGATCTGTCCAGTTCGATCGTTCATTCGAATCGAGGATTAAACGGCGATAAAGCCTCAACGTGTTTACCCTCCCGCGCTTTAGCAGCGCACTTTGTAATTACGCGCGGGCGCGAGAATAAAAGCGTCGGCGGAAAGGCGCCACGCCGGATCGACACGCGTCGTTAATTGCGACGACGAACGGGGTCGCTGACCGCCACGACGCTATCTTAATGTACAAATATCGGAGGTATCCGCGAGGCGGGCGCCTTTTACGCGCGTGGGTCGTCGGAGCTGTGCTTCTCCGCGTCAAGCACGCGTCAAAAGCGAGTTCGATCGAGTAACGCGACAGTGTGTCGTCACACGCACGCGTTACGCGTCTGTCGGCTCGGTAATTGCGGAGGGAGATCCGTAAAAGAGGCTCGAGAGCTTTGGGGAACGCGCGAAGGGACCGAGAAGCCGCGGAATATCGTTGACAGCTTTTTGACAGCGATTAGACCGAACGTAGCTATTTCTGCGATACCTGCATCGATATAGGAACGCCCGCTAGTAGAACAAAAATCTCGGTGAACGCAACAACGATTGGTCGATTTCTAAGAACCGATTGCGCGCCAAGGAGCCGCGGAATATTGGTGACAGCTTTTTGACAGCGATTAGACCGAACGTCGCTATTTCCGCGATACCTACATCGATATGAAAGCGATCGTGAATGGAACAAGAAACTCGATGAACGCAACAACGATTGGTCAATTTCTAAGAACCAAATGCGCGCCAGGGAGCCGCGGAATATCGTTGACAGCTTTTTGACAGCGATTAGACCGAACGTCCCTATTTCCGCGATACCTGCATCGATATGGAAACGATCGTGAATGGAACAAGAAACTCGGTGAACGCAACAACGATTGGTCGATTTCTAAGAACTGAATTGCGCGCCAAGAAGCCGCGGAATATCGTTGACAGCTTTTTGACAGCGATTAGACCGAACGTCGCTATTTCCGCGATACCTGCATCGATATGGAAGCGATCGTGAATGGAACAAGAAACTCGATGAACGCAACAACGATTGGTCAATTTCTAAGAACCAATTGCGCGACCGGGAGCCGCCGAATATCGTTGACAGCTTTTCGACAGCGATTAGACCGAACGTCCCTATTTCCGCGATACCTGCATCGATATGGAAGCGATCGTGAATGGAACAAGAAACTCGATGAACGCAACAACGATTGGTCAATTTCTAAGAACCAATTGCGCGCCAGGGAGCCGCGGAATATCGTTGACAGCTTTTTGACAGCAATTAGACCGAACGTCGCTATTTCCGCGATACCTGCGTCGATATAGGAACGACCGCGAGTGGAACAAGAAACTCGGTGAACGCAACAACGATCGGTCGATTTCTAAGAACCGATTGCGCGCCGGGGCAGCGTTAGGCAATCGGTAAATAAAAGATCGCGTGCCGGGTGGGAGGAGATCGGGCTGAATGGCGATCTTAAGACCTGGATACGTCGAACTTTCTTTTCACCTGGTGGCTAAGCAAAATGCGCCTAGCTTACTCATCCGAGGGTACGTGGAGCGTAACGCGGTTTAATCGGAATAATGGATGTTGTACGGCCGCGTGTAGCATTGCAAAACCGCGTGTTGCCTCGGCGGTGATAGGCCGAGCATTGCCAGTTTTATTTTCCTAATTCGCGTTAGCCTCGTTCCGCTACCAGCTTTTCCCGGCTGTGTTCGTACCGTTAACACCGGCCCCGTTCCAGGGAGCGAGACGGATCGAGTCGAAACGAAAGTTCCGCGCATTTGCCTGTCAATGTCCACGGGGGGAACGAGTTTGCGCGAAGGAAAAGCAAACGATCCACGATGCGAGCTGCAACTTCTCCGTTTACGCTTCGGCTCTTTCCACTCTCCTACGCGTGCATGTCTGCCTACGAACACGATCACGGTGCTTCTCGATTCGCTTTTTATAACAACTGCTTATCGGGACTTCCGCGGAGTGCAGAATTGACCACGTTAACGTAGATTAAACGCGCGAGGAAGAACGAGTTAGATAATACGTTACGGTGTTAGATTAAGTTTCGTAGCAGTTCCGCTCGTGACCGCTACTCTGTATCGGTATCCCGGCTGATAATTACGAGCTACGTTACTCCAACAGCGTACAGTGCACACAGGGCACGGCGGTATCCTACTTTCTTATCGAAAAAGGCGGAGGTTCGGCCCCAAACGCTTTACGACCTAAGCCAACTGCATAACGTTTATCGATAATCCTCCGCGTCGCTCCGCAAATGTTTACGAGGCGTTCGCGGGGACACTCTTAGAAAAAAAATATAGAAACGATATCGCAACGGTGCAGATCGAGTCGAAACTTGCGTTACATTCACCGTTCCTTCGAACGGTCAATCCAAGCAACGTAACCTCTTTGCATTGGGGCTGCCATTTTGGACCCAACTTCATCTGTCCCTTCCTTCTAACCTTCCACGATGGGAACCGAAAAATCTCTGTTGGCGAGGAAGAAAAAGCAACCTGACTATTATCTTTGGTAAACGCGATGGGGTCGACGAGCATCGTCTATTAACACGTTAAGAGCCTAGCCCGTTTTTCTTGCCGTTCCGTTCAGGCCCAATCTCGCCTAGCGAGTAGGCCAAGCGACGGGCAAAGTGTTCGTAAAACTCGGAGATACCGTAGCAGTTGTTGTAACAGGAATTTCCAAACGTTAGGTAGAAAGATGACGAAGAATTTAATACCAAAAGTTAGCACCTCGTGGTCCTAGTCTGGGTCGGTCCCTGAGGACCGATCAGGCCCGAACGGAAAGTCTAGCGCTGGTCTCTGGGGACCATGTGGCACTTAACGTGTTAACCGAGAAGCGCGGGAGAATCGATAAGGTCTACCGGGGCTAATTCGATAGAAAATGGCAGCCTTTTGGGTCCATCGATTAGACTCTGGCACAATGCGCGTAAACCCAGCCAGGGAAAAGAAAAGAGTCTGCAAGGCTGACTAAATAACCGGCTTCGTCCTACGCGAGGAGAACAAAGACTCTAAATCCCACTGTCGGAGTAAAAATTTACAACGCTGGTGAAAGAATGTCCCCAGACTGCACGAAGGCTCGGCAGGAGGCGCGAAGAACGAAGTTTCGCAAGCGTCGCGACGGCACAGCGTGGACCGGAAAAGTGGACCAAGCCTGGCGGGGTGTTGGAAGCCGACCCGTTTCAAGGGATGCAGCGGTGTCCGCATTAAGGACTTGGCCGAGTTTGCCATGGGTCAGACTCGTGTAAGACACGAGCCAATGGTCGCCCACGTTCGGCACGCCGATTTCGTTACTATTTTCGTAGCCACCTGCATCTCGTGGGCCGCGCACCAGGGATCGCTCTTGCCTCTGCTAGAACCGGAGGAAAGCCACTCGAGCACGGCCTCTGTGTGCCCACGTTCGTCCGCGATAGACGGTTTTGCAATTTCTTCACCTTCGAGTGAAGATCCTTGACACTTCGCTGTGCGTCGTTGTTCGCGATACTCCCAGCAGTTGCTAAACGACGAGCGACTGTGTGGACGACCATCGACAGACGTGTTACATACTCAGCTCGAGTATGGGACACGAGCAGCGACGAATATTTGAAAATGGGGAAAAGAGGCGAGAGATATCGACCAGGCAAGGACGACAAGCCTCGACACGTGTTTATTTGATATGACACCTGGTTAAACCTTCGCATCCTACGATCTTTTCGCTGTAACGATATATATATGTAATACAATTCGAGGCATTCCTTATATATTTTTCCAAGCTTGGTGATAGCTGTGCTAAAATAGGAAAAGAAAATATTTCGTTGTATCTCACACGTAGTTGTTTCCAATCTAGTTATTACTTCAGGACACTTAGGGTCACCGCTTAAGTGCAAAGTGTTAAGGGACGTTCATGGGGAAAAGACTCGCGCGAATGGATGCGGATATACCCAGGACTTTTCACGCGAAGAAATGAGTTTCCGCGATAGGCAGTGTTAAGAGCGAGCCAAACTAGACTCGCTTCGATAAACATCGTCGACAGCTTAACGAGGGTACTTCATCTGGGAATAATACCGAGCGTGAGTTTATGATATGCGAAGAGCAAACGAAAAGAGCGGGGAACCTACGTTTGCCATACGTTTTGGCAATTCCAGTTACGACTACGAGCGCAGATCCTTATTGCATCTATCGAATAACTGGTCTATTGAATGGATTATACGTACGAATTTATTAACACTAGGTTTACTGGGTATTTCGAATTTTACGAGGAAAATTGCAGACACCATTTACATTAAATAAAAATAATAATTTTACAAATAAAAATAAAAATCATAGTAATTACAGTAATTTACAAATAAAAATAAAAATCAACCAATCATAAAAATAAAAATCATAGTAATTACAGTAATTTACAAATAAAAATAGAAATCAATCATAATCATAAAAATAAAAGATAACAGTATACAATTATGTTATTTTTTAAATTCCTTTTCAAACAAAATGTCTGATTTCGTTCACGCGTATCTGCAAAGAAGTCCCTAGGCCACAGGAAATATCCCTAAACCTAGTGTCAACTAACCCTTCATCCGAGTCAATAGTTCACAGGTCAAACTAATTAATTTAAAAATTTTTAAACGATTCGCAATTAACGCACTAGTGTATCATAAAATTCGCGAGCAACGCGAAAAAATGGAAGCTTTAGAGCAGGAAATGGAGCTTCCTCGCATCTTCCTGCCAAGAAAAGCACCGGTGATGGCTCGATCGTTAATTAAATCGGCGTTGAGTTTGCTGGCCCATATTTCGAAATTCGAAAAAGTAAGCTCGTCGAAGATTCATCGGGCAAGGCTTCGAGGGTTCGTCGTTTCGCTCCGGGACGAACAATCGACGGCCAAGAGCTGCCTATTCTTTTAAACGAAAAACGAATCTGCCAAGCACCGGGTCCGAGCAATTATCCGCTTTGCGTTCGTTAAGCGAAGAAAATACGAGTGGACGAGCGCTGCGGAGCACAATGGAGAAATAAACGAAGGAACGGTGGAATGTTTATCTCGATGTACATACTGCGTGAAATGAACGTGCATGGAAATAACGAGAAACAATAAACAAAATTCGAGGACGGAGAAGCTCCAAAATTCTAGTGGCTAATTACGGAAAAATGAGGCTAACGCGCGGATAAAAATGAATCTTACGTGTCGGAAAAAATTACGCCATTTAACCGGATGGTAATAGGAAGAATTAATACTCGGAACTTTAAACGGAAATATTTGGGAAATGAAAATACACGCGGGTGGAGTTTTTCCTTGGGAAAATGGAATAACGACGGTAATGTATACGACGTACGGAATACTGCCGAGCTCATGCTACAAATTATTCATCTCCATTACACCGAACTAGAGATGAATATAAAATGAAATTACTATTATTTAGTATTATTTACCAACACTACATCTACCATAGTCTAAATCGCCATTTTCCAAACTTTCATTAAAAATTCCGAATTCAAGGTTATCCTCTTAATCACTCGCCGTAGTAAGTCACTTGACCGTGGTAGGTTTAGTGTTAAAATCGAGCATAATTAAACGTAAATAAACCCTTTTGTAAATATAGCAATTGCAATTTTTAATAACGCGATATCGAGTCGCCCCGCGAGGGTACAGCCCTGCATAACCTATTAGAAAGTTGTTCGAAATGGAATTTGCAAATCTCAAGTAAATATTAAAATGCGATGGATTACTTCACCGTCTACCGATGTCTCGAGCTCTACCCGTGGATAATATAAATATTTATAAATTTATCTATGAATTGATAGACGACTAGTAAACAAAAGGAAGCAGAATCGTAGGCTACGCAAGGGAAAGACGCGTGACGCAGGATCCTAACCTATCCGCTTGGGCTGAAAGTAAACAGGGAGAGGGGGTAAAGGAACGGACGCGTTAGTGGAAGAAGACTCACGTCTGCAGCGCCAGCTTGATGTCGAAGGTGATGGTGGTGCCGGTGTCCACGTGGAATATGTAGAGCATTTTCGGGCCGTTGGAGGTCCTTCTGGTCCGACGACAGGAGTGAAACGGCCAGCCCGCCCGAAACAGTCCACTGGCATTCGGTGGTGCTGGGCGCCCGGTATTCGCGACGCCCGACGAAGAGGAGCTGTCACCTCAGGCCGACTCCTGTAGTCAGCTCGATCGGGGCCGTACCCCTCGTTTCACAGCGCTCGCGAGTACGGCCCCCTCGGGTTTATGCCGCATCGATCACCAATCCGCTCGTCGTCGTCGTCGATTCACGCAAACTCGGGCTCGCGTTCGACCAGCTTTCCTCCGCGTCTCGTTGTCGAGTGTTTTCCGCACGTACGTTGTTTCCTCGTTATTATCCTTCGTCGCGATCGACAGGTATCGTAAAGTGGCGCGCGCGCGAGAGCCGAGGAAAAGACGAGCGACAGCGAAAGAGCTCGAGAAACGCGATGCGCCGATGTATACGTTGCTGTTGCGTGCGCTACAGGCACGGTGCGCGTGTGTGTATACGTAGAAGCGTGTACGTGTGTCGATCGGCTGGAAGGAAAGCAACGAAGGTGTCGTTGGGTCTGGCTATCTCGGAGTACACGGAGATTCGTTGGAACGAAGGGGAGTACAGGTAGAAGCGAAAGGAAAGCGCAATATATCACGAGATCATTGGTAACTGAGAAAAGGGAGTCCCAGAGCGTTTGGGAGGGAAGGTATTGTGTTGCACAGTCTCTTAAAGGGCCCGGACAAATCGGGTTGGTAAACGACGGTTAGACCGAGGCACGGCCTGCTGGAACCCACGATCGTTATTTACAGGACGGCTCAGAGTGATTTTCGTTCCGGCCAGGGGTCGAGAACGAACGAGAACGTTCGTTGAGTCCCTTGGAAACGGCAAGTTCAACTGACACACTTGGACAGGTCTCGCACTGAATCGATCACTTTAATCGTAAAATATCGCGCAACGATAATTCTTGTTTGCGTTCTTACTCCGCCTGTCATCGGGGCAAACGCGTATAGGTTGTGTACTGTTGCTTCTGAAAGTATCGGTCGATCACGTCGTCTTCCAGTTTTCGTGATGTAACGAAGCACTCTTGCTACGGCTCGACAATTCTTTTAAACACAGTTTACGAGACGGTGTTCGTAGGTACGCGGTAACGTCGCGTGTACGCGGGCGAGCGCGGAACACGAATGAAATAGTCGGAAAAGAATCACCGTTGCAGCGATGGAGGACTGGTCGACGCGATAAACGAGTAGTCCCGGATCAGCTGCTCGTCAAAACAAAGCACTTGCGCGTACACGAAGGGCCAGCGATCCTTTCACCGAATCGTTGTTACGCTGACCAGACTCGAGTCGAAGCACAACACTCCCAACGGTGTATTCTATGCTTGTTCGTGGATAAAAAGACCCGACGCGAGATCAAGCAGGACGCCAGGATCTCGTTTTATATCGTGACGAGCCGTGTATACGCCGAGAGTGACGTACCGACCACACAAACAATGCTGCGCCACTCGCACGGGAACGTATGCGCAGAGATCGAAGCACGAAACAAAGAAACTCCACTTTCGCCACGGATTTTCTCGTTTGTGCTTTTATTTCTCGTATCTTCTGTTCAGGTACTGTTGCTGACACTCGTGTGGTTCGCGTCGCTGCCGAATTTTCACCGCGAATGCGCCGAACGCTTGCCCGAGAACGTCCACTTTTATGAAGCTCTTGCACCGTGCCAGAGTGAGAAGGTAGAGGGGCAACTAGCTTGGCGCAGTCCCGTTCGACATTTTGCTCTGACGCATCGCGTCGCCAGCTGTTTACTGCCGAGTCCAGGCCTGGTCGAGCACGGAGGACAGAACGTCTGCTCGCCGTGTGCTCTGCTCACGCAGATATTCCACTCGCCACTCAGCTGTTCGCTCGCGACCGACGCGCCATCTTCGCAGTACGAAGATGGCGTGAGCGACGGTAATAGGTGGTTTGAACGAGGCATGTAAAATTAACAATTTTTACTCAAATATCTTTCCCATTTTGCTATATTCCCTATGATATTATCGCGTTGCGTGCGTGCGTGTGTGTATGTGTACGAGTGAGTTTTCATAAATTCAACGAAAGACTCGATGCTTTTATCTGTGTATCGCGCGTGAATGTTGAGGCTTGTCGTTCCTTGGATATACGTATATCGTTTGAATCCCGTCATGCGCAGCAATTCATCGTGGCAGAGATGGAAACCAATGTTATTCTTCCTGGATCGAAGTACAGAATATTAAACGAACGAAACCTTCGCGTCCCTGCAATGTGAGTGATCGATACCTTTCTTTTGATATATTATACGAAAATGAAATTACAAATTGAGTCGACACGACAAAGGGTATATGCGAAATTACGATCGATATCGTGGTAACAAATTTATTTTCGGATATCGATCTGTTTTACGATTATCACGTACACCCGTATCGGTGTCAATTCGACACGGATGTAAGTGATAAAAACGTATTCGTATATAAATTCTGGTTTCGAAAGAACTTGTAAAAGTAGCAGCGCTGTCATCGACCGAGCATATAAGCGCGCATGCGCAGAGCTATAAATGACCCACCGCCATTATCGCTTCCGTGTGGAGACTCTTTACGCTAAGTCGACTGTGAAAGGGGAGAATGATGCAAATTTCGTACTGCCAGCGTGGGGGTTGTAACTGCACGCGCTATGTTTGTTTATACACCGAGACGTTATCGCGAACAGTGAGCTGTTTCATACACCGACGCCAAATTTTATCGCTTTACGAACGCGTAAACGTCTCATGAATACGTGCCTTGATTTTCGAAAAAAAAATGACAAACTCGTTCGAAAATAACATCCACGTCGAAAATAACCGAATCCGTTTGTACGCTATTAAAATTATTGCGCAGCTCGTCGATAACCGCGCGTTAACGCCTAACGTCTTGTTTATTTAGCAAATTAGTATCGTGTTCGCTTTGGGGTGTAGCGTTTTTCCACATACTCTGCCGTGTCCTCGTATAACATGGTAAATATCGCGAAACTACGCCGTCGAATGGCATCTAGAAGTCGAACGATTCCCTACGAGAAAATGGCATAATATTTACCTCGACGGAGAATCGTTCACCTTTCGCTCGAGGCCATGAGAGCCATAAATGCGAATCGTTCCCGCCTATGTATATTGCAAGCATTGTCTCACGCGTAATTCCAAATCGATACACAACGAAATCGCAGCTCGGTTATAGCAACGTGTCGCGACTTCTCTCTGAATTTTAATTCTGTCACGGTTTGTCCGTCCGTCCGTTCACGGTGTCAACGTATGGCCAGAAACTTATTACGCCGTGACTCCTACGTTAGCTCGTTTCGGGACAGACGTAGTAGAAGCAATCTTGGCGTGTGTGGGGCCGTGTCGGTGCGTTGACACGTGGCATACGATAAAGGCATAGACACACGCTGTGCGTCCGCTATCGCGAATTAAAGGACTCGCGATGGAGAGGAGGAAACAGATACGATGACAAAAATATCGTAGCTCGGAGGGACATGAGATGTCGTTGTGTGTTTAGTCATATGATAAACGAGCTTCAGCCTTCCCGCGACGCTATCGCGCGGGTATCCGCGCCGTACATGTACTGGTATTGCAGCGCGTTCCTATGCGTTTTGCGCAAGGGAGGAAATTTCTTTTCCGCGTACGCGCATTGTTATTGAATACAATCGCTATTCGATGGCAATCGATGATAATGATTTCCTCGATTAGTCATATACCGACGTGCATTTCGCGCAACTCATGCCCCGATGCAATGCGACGAAAGAGCTGATGCACAGTTAGAAATACGTCACCTTTTCTATCGCGACGACTCCTACCTAATACGCGTTCGAATATTCGATTAATCGGCGCACTTTGTTACCCGGACAAATAACTCGACGCTCATGAAAGGGTCACCGATAAACAGACTCGCAGATTAGCAGATAACGCGCGAAGAACTGATTGGTACACACGATTAAAATCGTTTCGCGTTCTCATTCGGAGCACGCGATTTTTCTTCCTCGAAAACGGAAATTGCTGCCGAGAACGGGTCGAAATTTCCGCGAAAGCGCTTTCACTTGTCGAAATATCGATAAAAGATACGTCGATACCTAGGCAGATTAGATGAAGAAATTGCTACTCCAGGGCCGTACCGTTTTAACCAATTCATAGCCGGTAGTTCTGCACGGTTGGGGATCATTAACGATCGTTTTCCCCTCGTGAAAACGTGAACCTTGACGCAGCCTCGTGGTAAGTGGCCAGTCGATGCCTGATTTCTCGATTTTGCGATTGCGAAATGTTGCGCGAGCATAATGTAATCGTCGGTTGGAAAGTCGAAGGCGAAACGCAGTAGCGAACACGCTCCGTTCTCCGATTCCTTCTTTTTCTCGCTCATTCTCGCCCGGTCTGCGCAGCGTCGATCAATTATCCCCGCGATATTTTATTTAAATACAGCCACCTGCGTTGCCGCCATTTTTCGTGACTCTCGTTCCCATATGTAAATCCGCGCGATCGAACTGGCCAGGCGGCAACGCGGCAAAAAGGAAGGCGAAACCTAACCTTCAATTCGACGATCACTGGCTGCAACTTTTCCCGCGCAAAAAGGAGCAAGACCACGAACGCCGGTGAAAATAGATTTTTCAATTGTCGCGACCAATGGATCCACTTTCCCCGTTGCACGCTCACGCTTTCCTGTCAGAACGTTTCTTCAATTACCGCAAATACACCGGTTCTGGCTCGCTCGGAATTACGTGTAATACGAAGTCAGGTCCGTAAATTGAATTTTCGCCGGATAGAGATCAGCGACAGCTCGACGACGAATTTGGAAGACCTAGCAACGTTTGCGAAATGCCTGCTCCAACGCGATCTCGTCGACTAGTAAATATCCACGCGGATGATCCTATCAGCCATTTTCCTGTGAATCCGGGAGAAATATCTAGATCGTGCAACAATTTTCCGTCATATAGAATCATATGGATCCGATTATGGAAAATCGGCGAGAGAGGCGTGTTGGTGGATGTAGAGATCATAGAAGCGAGGATTGCAACGAGAGCTTGGTCACAGCACGCGAATCTTTGAAAACCGTGGAGGGATCGAGTAGATCGGCTAACGATCGAGAGTGTACTCGCGTCGAGCGATGAAACGAGGAAATGGAGTGGGAGGTAAAGATGGTTTTCTGCGTGTGCTTGGTGGGGATGAAGAACGAGGCGCGCGCGCGACGAGCGCGAGGATCCTTGCGTGTGCGCGACACACGCGCGGTTTTCACGTCTCGCTCGTACGAAGGTCTCTCGTTAGGCTCCGTAGCACGCGAATCGCTGGAGAGCCATGCGGGAGGTGCGTGGCCAGAGCGAGGTCAGCTCACGCACGTGCACGTCGTGCGTGCCTCGTATTATACGTTACATGTTACGGACGTCCCGTTCCACCAGCAAAGGCGTAACCGGCGAAAAGGGCGCAGCCACAGCCTCGTTATTAGGCTGTTGCATAATGAATATCGAATTTTTTTATCGTTCACATCTCCGCTAACCCCGCAGTCAACGAACTGGCGAGCGTTGCCTCGTCAGGTATATACGCGGATCGGGCTATTTTTATTTATTTTCACTCGGGAAAGTCTCGCGTCGAGAGACGTTAGTCCAATTTCACCTGGGGGTCTTGTTTTTTGAATCCGCTGTATCTGGGACGGAAATATCGCGGAAACACTGCGACCTGAGTGGCAGGGAGCGATACAAAAGGAGCACGACGAATAGATCGATCTGCTGAATCAGGATCCCGGTACTAGATCGATCTCCATCGAACCGCTTTGATCGTTATTTTCTCTCTTGACCTAATATTCGAAAATAATATCCCTCCGCGATAGCAACCTTCCGTGGGAACTCTTTATTACGTTCATTAACGATATTAAGTCGAGAATCGTGAAGACGTCGGGTCACGTGCCCGTTATCGAAGTAAACCAGCAATTCCGTCGGTCGTAACAAATTGGAAAGCATCGGAGTCGTGTATACCTGCACTTCCGATTAAGTGTACCTCGGGCACACGTGATTTTTCCTTCGCAGTCGCGACGAGGATTACCTTCGATCGCCTATACGCGAGTAAAACCAGCGGCACGAAACAAAACCACGGAAATCCGTATGTACATAAATTTTGCGTATTATCGACGGCGCAGGATTACGCGGACACGTTAGTTCGTCAGCTTTGACAAATGTCTGTAATCAAAGACCAGTATCAGGTAGGCTGGCCTTATCGCTCGTAGACGATTACGCAACTGCAGATTACGCGAACGAGAAATTAATATTCGTGCCCGCTAGATATCTATCTTACCAAGGCGGAGTTCTGTTCCGAAGGATAAGCTAGACGAAACAAAAATATTTAATCCCACCGTTTATATTTACCCTCCGCTCCAACGCGACGAACGCGTTCGTCCGATTTATCAGACTAATTTCGTTCGAACTCCACTCGATATCTTTGAAAAATTCGTGGACTTGGAATACGCGATACGGCGGGGTTCGGATGACTCGGTCGACCATTTCCCAATAATTCGTGCACGTTCTACGCCGCTGCGTGGCTATAGCGAGAATCGACGTTCTATTCCTCGGTCTGGGTTATCGGCCGTTCCTTTTATCGTTCTTTCTTCAGTGTCGACGACACGCGGACATTTCCACGGTAGCAAACATAACGAGGAAAGCGCAGATAAGAGATAAGAAGCGTGTCAAAAGCGATAGCGTTGCGAAAAAAAAGGGACCAGCTGGTGACCGTGTGCACGTACGTACGTGCATCAGCGTGGTGCAAGCTCGATCGATGCAACGAAAGCGTTACCCGAGCGACAAGTGGAAGGGGCAGGATAGAAAGAAGACAGC